TTTCAATGTCTTGTGGATTTGTTTTTTCTTCCCTTACACCTTTGAAACACTCGTCATATACACCTGAAATAATATTCCTTTTGATGTTGTCAGCGGCATATCAGTTACAATAGCTTGATACTTCATCTAAATGAGCTGTGCCCCTTCTGCACAGCTGTTTACATTATGTAAGTTACTGGGTATACCTGCGAGAGATGAAACGCTTCTCAATCCAACATGTCGTTGAGGAAATATAACCTTCTTCATTCTTTTCTAACGTCAATGCAGTTGACGTTGTGCCATTTAGCGGTTTCCAAGTACCTGGATTCCCATGTGTGCCTTTCTGTTTGTCATTTATCAGAGGCTGCTGTGCCCTCTCCAGATACCTCATTCTCCTCACAAAGCCAACCCCCCCTGAGCACACGGATAACAAAACTCCCTTACTCCTACAGGCAATTCATCCCCTACTGACCCATTTGTTTTCACAATCTGACAAGTGTGATTTAAGAACTGCGGTAGGCCAGGAGTGCAGCGGCCATGTCTGGATCCACTGCTGCGGGACCTTCAAATTCAGCAACACCTCCAATTTGATACACTTTTTACTCCACTGACATCAAACTAAGACAAATCGATGAATTTACATACCTTGCCTGAAGGTTTCACCGAAGTCTAGCTGACTTATTTTCTGACTTGATAAATTGTTCTTGCTGGCGGTGTCAGTATTATTCAGAGAGGAAGCCACTGAGCACAATGGATGCATAATGTGTGTGCTGCACGTGACACATAGCAAGACCATATCTATACTCAAACATTTGGTAACAAACCACAAGCATCTGTGTGGCCTCTGAATAAAACATGACGTATTAGCCTTTTTCTGTGCTCTTTTGTCACGTGTGCGAGCTTTTAGATGTAAAAAAGACTATTCAAAGTTAGCAGCGCAGCATTGACATAAAAGGATATCCATTATCCAAGTCATTTACTCCGGCTTCTATGTTTTCAAAGAATTTTGATCTTGCTATTCACCGACTGGTTAATGTGTCTCCATTAAGGCTCTGTCACAATAGTAGAGTGTGGAAGGCCCATAGCTGATGTGTTTTTGTCCAATACAAAATGCCACCCCCTATTTCGACTCTATTGGGTTGACTCTGTTTTCCCGTTGCTTAAGGTTTTCGAACCACAGTGACCGAAAGTATTTCAGTGTGCTGCAAATCTGGCCTTCTGTAGCTGTGTAATGTTTTACCTTGTACTGCATTATGACTAGACAGTAACTTCTGTCTAACTACCTAAGAGTGGCAGTAAGTAACTGGTGTCATTACTGGAACTGAGTACTTTATTTGTGTGCGTAAACTTTTTACATTACATATTTCCTGAGCGGGTTATTAATTCCACTTTTGCTTTATAGTTTGAGCAGACACACTTTACATAACACATTCAATTACATCCAATAACTCACACATTTAACCCTGGGACATTTATATTTTAGTAGTTGATCTTAAATTGTATGTAGAACAAACCTGTTAAGCTTGCAGCAACACGAAAAAACGGTATCATTAAAGGGGCCCTATACCGCTCATTTTAGGTTCATATTTGTATTTAGTGCCTCTACTTTGAGACGTGTCCATGCTGCCTGTGCTGCAGCACCTCTTTTCACCCTCTGTCTGAAACCAGAGCCCAGTCTGCTCTGATTGGATAGCTGGCCGGCTCTGTTGTGATTGGTCAACTGCTTAGAGATGTCCCGCCCCTTAGCCTATCGGTTCTATAGGTGTTGGAGCGCTAGCCAATAGAATCAGGAGTTACGCAGTGATGTCACTATGTAAACAAAGGAGTCAAATGGAGGCATTTCAGGCAGGGGGGAGTGTGTGGGAGAGAAACTCCCTCTGGAGGGAACTTTGGGATTTTAGAGATTTGCAAACCATTTACATGCACACAAACCTATAACACTACAGGACAGGGGAAACACCAAAAAGCATAATATTGCCTTTTTAAAGGAATACTTTACCCACAACATTGTACATCAAATACTCACTCTCTATACCCTGAAATGTATGTAGAAACTTCTTTTTCTAGCATAGCTCCAAGGTGAGTATGAACAGCCAAAACAGCATAAAGGAAAATCAGAATAGCTATATTATCCATTAAGAGCTCTCACACAACCAAGGATGTACAATCCAATGTTGTGTGTCAATTAGGATAAATTCAGGGATATGTACTATAATATATATACTATATTTTGCGAACCTTTGGGGACAGAGCCTTCAGTGTGGCAGCCCCCACCCTCTGGAACGCTCTCCCTGCGGAGATCTGCAACATCCAGCATGACGCCTTCAAAGGGCCCTCAAGTCCCATCTGTTTGCTAAGGCCTTTGGCCCCTAATCTATTTGTTGTTTTTGTCTGTCTGACTGTTTGTCTGACTGCCTTTTGTTTTTGTTATGTTTGTTTCTACTCCTGTTCTTCTGTGTAAAGCGACCATGGGTCTCATGTAAGGCGCTATATAAATCCAAGCTATTATTATTATTTTACTGTGTTAAGTAGGTTTTTAAATGTTCAGTGTGATCATTTATACAGGACACACAAATCAAATATGGCTGTTGTGCAGTCAGAAGAAACAATCATCATCGCTGATATCGTTTGTCGTACACAATCCTTACTTTCAGACTGCTCAAATAACCGATTATCCCAACGACAAGTTAGCGGTATACTTGGTGAAAAATAAGTCTTTTTGTACAGTGGGTTGTTCACCGGAGGAATCCCAACAGCTGCTGTGTCCATTGCTTTTTTTTTATAAGTGCACCATTGGGGAGCAATTTGCAATACTTGTAATCGTTATCGCACTTATGCACTCAAAGTGTATCCACAAATGAAAGCCTGATCAAGTGTGACTTATTCCGTGTGATTTAAAGAGAAACTTGATGTTTTGGGGAAATAGTGAGCTTACTGTACCACTGGATACATTTGTTTTTGATTGTATTCTGTTAAAGTTTGTAAATAGATTATTTAAAACACTTTTGCTTTTGTAAAACTAGCCATTTACTTCAATTCTTTGTTTACCGTTGAGGCATGTGAGTTAGATTTTCCAAAACAAGGTCATACAGGGTGAATTCCTAGAACTACTAAAGTTGCCATCATTTCTTCTATCTTCAAAATCGTAATATTGTTTTGTCCTATCTTGGTTGTTGTCTGGGAGCTCTGGTGCATTACGAAAAGCAGCATCCAGATACAGTAGTGACACCACTGATTAATGGGGTTTGACACTTTTGTTGTTTTGTTTATTCCCCTACAACCCACAACGTCATAAATGTTTTTCTTGTTGATTTATGCTCCACTTAATCTTGTCCTGCCACATCTGTGAGCGTATCGCCCTACGTCTGATCTTGAGAAAAGTGCTTCTGAAGGCGCATCATCCTGAATGTAATGCAAACTGATAATAAAGAGCGCACTCATTACGAACTGTGTTCAAATGACTGTAGCATTACCGCCTATCTCAGCCCAGCTAACAGAATGATGCTCCACGCCGCCTGTCCTGTCATGGTCTCCAACGTTATCACACTTCCGTCTGAACAGAGAACAAATCTACATATTGCAGATCAAGGGCAAACTACAGTAAGCGGAGCCAGTCACTCACGATAAGAATCTCTCCTATTTGTTTGTTGCTATGAGAGAGGGAGAAAACGCAGATCCCCATCAGAGGACAGTTTTTTCCACACTTTGCTGTTTTTGTTCTCTTCACTTATCAGCATCTGATGATTTAAGTGGAGGTAGGCAGTTAGTTTAACAACCTAGAGATATCCCCCCTCTGATTTGCATAGATATGCAAATGTCCCGGGTTACAGTTGAGGTGTCGACACGGGGGATCTGTGTGTGTGTGTGTGCCTGATACAGTATATAGGTCATTGTTTTTGGTGTTCCTCCGCTGATGGATACGCACTGTACTCAGAGCCAGATGCTTACGCAGCCCAAAGTTATTTATGCTGCTACAGGGTGTCATACAGGGTTTACTGACTGATGCACTTTTATGTAGCTGTAACTATGTTCTACTGTGTGTAAGTAATGTTATCCCTCAGCTACTGATTTGTGTTTTGTGTCCAACATATAAATCTAGCTGTTATGTTCAATAAATTAACTCGGAGGCTGTTTTCTGGCTCTAAAGGTAGATTTTTCAGTCGTTTCATTTCCTAACTGCACAGTGTAAGGAAATGGATGTCTTCTTAGGGAATGTTTAGTATGTGCTTTTCTTATTTGTCTATAAGGACTTTCCCAGTAACCCGACATTTGGCCATTTTTAACAGTTTTTATTTAATTAAATGTCACTATCTATATTATGCTCAGTTATCAGCACATATCCATTGTTTAATTGAGTGTTCTTTTACTAACTTGTCAATTACAGGTTTGATTTAATAAAATGACAAACAAATGTCATCATAGTTACATCATTTTTTATGTTTTAGGATTTGCAATAGCTTGTAATGACTTCACTAAACAGAGGGCTGACAGTGGCATTTGCATCAGGGCCTATCACCTATATTACATTTTAAAATAGCATACCACCTGCCATTAACAAGATCCCTATATTTATTCCATTAAAATGACCCATCTCAATCATAATATGACATGTTGAATTATTTATTTAGTTTTTTTCAACCTTGAAATGTTTTTTCATATCAGTTTATTGTCACTTACATGTTCCTCTTTTCTTCAGAATCATTTAATTTACAAATGACATTGATTTAGAGAGGGAAAATGTACACAAAAAAAGAAAACCCTATTAGAAAGGGCATGCACATAATATTTAAAAAAAAAAAAATACATATATATTCCAATTGTACAACTAACATTCGTAACACATTTACATATTGCACACAATTGTTATTGCACAACAGTGGTGTTGTATTCTGTGTTTGTTTTTTATCTAGGGACTACAGTTGTTAATTAGCATTTTTGCTAACTCTTTCATATTGAAGTCCATTAACGTGCTACGCTCTCATAAATAAACACTTTTTTTATTTTCCTTCCCTTGTTTCCAGCACCCCCTCCCAGCCCAAACGTCACCCTGGAGGGCCAGTACCACTGCCACCAGGGGCCGGGGATCCCCCTGGACAAGCTGTGTGACTTCAGCACAGACTGTCCGCTCGGCGATGACGAAGGCGACCTCTGTAGTGAGTACACTGTGATACACGAGCACAGCTGAGAAAGTGCAAGAGGAGTGTCTGCTGGCCTTACTGCATTCATGTCGGGATCAAACCCGTGTAAAACTCCTCATCCGTGTGAGCTGTCTTTAATGAAGCCGTTGCATCCTGCTGCCTATCGGAGCAACAACTGAGCGCCTGCGAAAAACAGAGAGGCAAGGGGGAAGGCAGAAACAAATGCAGCGTGTCTATCTTGACTAGCATTTCTCACCCTTGACAAACTCCATGGTTGTTATTTCTATCTCTTTGCACATTTTTGTCCTGTGTGTGTGTGTGTGTGTGTGTGTGTGTGTGTGTGTGTGTGTGTGTGTGTGTGTGTGTGTGTGTGTGTGTGTGTGTGTGTGTGTGTGTGTGTGTGTGTGTGTGTGTGTGTGTGTGTGTGTGTGTGTGTGTGTGTGTTGAGGTGTTCATGTTTTAGTCCTGTACTAGCATGCGTGCATATTTACATTTTCCTCACGGTTAAATGATACACAGTTCAAAACTCCTACCCCCTACTGTTTATCTTTTAATGATGTAGTTTGATTTCACAGTTTTTCACCCGTACTAAAATGACCAGAATGAATTTGCCTGCTACCCACAGCGCAGGTCAGCCTCCCATGTGGTGCTTATTAAAACGCTCATAGGTTTGCTAACAGTAGGAGCTGAGAGATAAGAGGCTAACGAGAGGGTGAAACTCCCAGCCAGGCGCTCTTTCACTTCCTGCTGAAGGACTTATCAGGGCTAATTGGCCTGAGGGGATAACCCAAGGGTATAATCTCCATTTGAACGTCATAAGAGTGGGTACGTGTCTGTGTGTTACATTTTGATTGTGGAAGCCAGAAATGGTAATTTGAGACAATCAGAAAAATACAAATCCGGCTAACCATTGACTACTTTCTGTTACCATCTTTCTGTTACCATCTTTAACAACTTCTATTCAAATGATGTAAAGAACATAATAAGACTGGTAATAGTGTATTCAGGTCAGTAACAAGAAGGGAGACTGGGATGATACTTGACACAAACGTATGGGTCTTAGAAGGGAAATGTTTTCCACTTATTTCCACATAACACCGTGTACAAATGCAAACCATTTATTATCAATCAAACAGTCAGAAAAATGTATTAATCCCATGGGGAAATTACATTTTGTGAAAATTGCAACATATTAGAATAACAAAAATGTTTATTTTTATAAACATACATTTAATTAAAAACTTGCAATTTTTCAATATTCCTGTGCGTCTTTGGCACAGGAACGAGGCAGGACGTCCTCCACAGCTCAGGGACCCTCGGAAGACCCAGGCTCATGGTGAAGACATGGTGAAGCTCTCAATGCAATCCCTGTCGGCCAAAACATTAGACGACACTCCAGATATTCTTACGTTGCCCACTATTACAATAGTAAGTCCATGGGCTTTCAAAACGGAGAAAACGTTCCCTGAAAGAACAGATTTTTTATTTACTGTATGCCAGAGGAAGTTAGCATGTTACGCATTGAATGCTAACTTCCTGTGAAATTAGCGAATGAGCTAACAGGCTATTTATTCAATTCAGTTGCTTGGCTACGTTGATAGTAAAATTGTGCCTGCCCTACACATTGTAAAAAGTAGTTAAATAAAAGTGGGTTCATTATGACATTCATATTATTTCATTTATTTGCCTATATTCATTGAGGAAAACTTTGTGGAAACAAGTTGTCAGGAAATATTACGCATGTGACAGCTCTTTTCTCCTCGTCTCCACACACCTTTCCGCTGAGCGCCCAGATCATGCTGGGAGTGCACAGATGCATGAAGGCCAACTGTCATTTGAATCTCTCTCTGTCTCTCAATCCATTCTTAAATTAGATTTACCCTTTATCGGTTTTGATCGAGGACAAGGACTGACAATCCATAGTTGATTTGTGAGTCCGCTGTGATACTCACACATGTGTCTCTTTCCTCTCGCTGTCTGCGGTACCTAAGGCTCTGCATTTGTTCCATGTTCATCTCCATCACTTGTCACAATTACCCCCCCGCTATCCGAATCAGATACTGTTCTCTGATGCCCTATTCTCTATGATCTTCATCTGATTTGATCAATGTCAATCCTTCATAAGATGTGCCAAGGCTCATTAATGGGAAAAAAGCAAAGAGGAGGCAAGGAGGAACACACTTAGCTGGTGTCAATCACAAAGATCCCTGATTTATAAGGAAAATCTAATCCCTGTGTATCTCCCCCACTGCCCTGCCTCAGCATCATTATGCAAGAACACATCCTCCACACTTTGAGTCAGAACTGCCTGTACTTAATCTTGTCAGCCAAAATTCTTCTGACACCCCACTACTTTGCAACACTACCGTTTCCCTGCAACTACAGAGAAATGCCGCTTAGATCAAAGATGGATGCCTGCAGAAATGTTAAGTAGTAGGTCCTGCCCAGTAAGACCAGTGGTAAGATGTCTTTGATGTCTTTTGTTGTTTATCCATGGTAGCCATTAATGATGCTATCGTAACCACCAAGTCCTTCTTTGGTAGATACCTCAACCAAATAAAATAACTGCAGTTATTGTCCGTGTTACAACAAAAATGGTAAATGGACTGTACTTATTCAGCGCTTTAACCAGTCTTTACGACCCCTCAAAACACTTTACATTCTACAAGTCATCATTCACCAACAGTGTTGGGCAAGTTACTTCCAAAATGTAATACAGTACATATAACTTATTACTGTTGTAATAAGTTACATTACAATATTACTGTCTCTGAAATGTAATGAGTTACACTACTTTTATATTACTTTTGAGTTACTTTCACCAAAATAACCGCAAAAGAATGGCTAGGTATTTTAAATGCTAAAATGTAGTTTAGTGCAGCTCATTATACACCCAGTGAGGGGCAATGTGGTATAGCATAACAACTGTGTAGGCCCTTAAGGCTACTAACAACTTGTATTACACAGCTTAGTTGAATACTCGATTCTGATTGTAAATTCTTAACATGTGACACGTTGTTAATCCAGCAGTACAGACCACTGTCAAGGACTATAATGAAGGTTGCTAAGGAGGATCAAGAAAGAGAAAGGAAAAGAGGTTAAAAGACGGAGCGCTGGACGTCAGATAAATCACCAGAAGAAGGCAGACAGGAAGTAAACAATAACAGGACACGGAATGGGCTCTGTAGTTTGTTTAGTTTATGGCCGTGTAATAAGCGGGATAATGTGCAGCGAGGCGGTCATTGTGGGGAAAAGAACACGCGACAGGATGATCAGGGAACCTGACACGAAGCGGAGGGAACTTGATGAACCTGAAGGGTAAACACCAGGCTTACTAATCTACCCGCACAATTTTTGTCTGGTGTCGGAATGTCTCGCGATGTTGGTAAATTCTTAAAATTTACTTTTGTAACACGTTACACCCAACACTGTGTTCACCAATGCATACACATTAGTGCCACGTGCTAAACCACATTCACACACTGTTGGCCATGCCACCAGGAGCAACATGGGGTTAAGTAAACTTCGACATGTTGACTGCTGGGGATCGAACCAAAAAGCTTCCGATACAGCGTGTTATTAACAGAAACAGATGGAACAAAACTTTATGGCAGGCATTTTTTATTTCTCTATGCACTCTTAACACTCTTAAGGTACATAGTTTGTAAGCAAGCTTTTGACAGCAGGAACTTTCCCGCAAACCCACGTACCTATTTAGGAACTCATTCCGGGCCTCAGGGACCAGCATATAAATAAAGTTATGGGGACATTATTTGATCCACCAAAAGTATGTGGTCAGGGGAATAATACTTTCCGAGAGTTTGGGAACGTTGTGTGAAGTCTTGCTGAGCAAAAAAGTCTTCTTTGCTGCTTTTGTGGCAGACTACAGCGCCACTTACAGTCCTGGCATATGTACTACAGTGTCTCCAGTGCTTTCGAACGGCAATGGCCGTGGCTGTCTCCTCCTGATAGGTGGAGAGTTTCCCATATGGCGGAGCTCCTCGTTTCTGACGTCAGAGATATTTCAAATCTGTATCGGTCTGTATCAGATCCGTTGCAGCCCCGTTTTTAGAGATTTTGGTATGGAGGAAAAGAGAGAGGGTTGTGTTTTCTGACACTTGGTGAGTTCCCTGACACACCGGGGACACATATTCATGTATAAAAGACGTACGAAAGTGAATTTTGCATGATAGGTCCCCTTTAAGGAACCTTTGAGTTCCATACAAAGTAGTAGGAATAATGTCCTCAGGAACTTTAGGTAGGAGCACAGCTTTTGTACCTTGTGTTCAGATACCATGGTTGCGGTCGAATAGTCCCAAAATCAGCTCCTATCGTCTATTCCTTGACCTCAGCTTCTACTGAAGCCAGTCCCCGGAGTTGGGGCCTGCTGGGAGTCTTCCCAGCAGCTTCTACTGAAGCCTTCCGAGTAAATCGCCAGAAGCGCCGACACCTCCTCATCTCTCCACCGCTCCCATGTTTTCTTTTGTTTTGCCATAAGTTAGTCTCTCTGCGTTGGTGCGCTGGGCTAATGCTAATAATGCTAATGTGAGCAAATAAAATGGCGGCTTCACAAAAACTTTTCAGAGTTTTACGGGGCGTGGTTTGCAATTTGCCCAGCCAATCAGAAATTGGAACCTTTTTCTCCCCAGGAAAGTCGGAACTATTCCTGGGAAAAGTACTCCGGTGTGAAAGCGCCTATTGTTCGTGTCATGCCATTTTTCAGACTTTATTATATTGACCCTGCCATGACTTTTGATATATTATGTTTTCTTGTCAAGTAATCATGACAGACACTGATAGAGAAGTGTTGACTTAACATTAAAGTGACGTTATGAATTAGGGCTGTGCATCTTCACTGGTCTCACGATTCGATTTGATTACGATTATCCTGTCAACGATTCGATTCAATTCGATATCCCGATGCATCACGATTCATACCAATGCGTTGCATCCTCAATTTTCTATATTACTGCACATGGCTTATTTATCATCAATACATACATGCAGTAAATACA